GGAGAGGAGAAAAAAACGGCCCTTTTCTAGTATTCCTGATTGCTTGATAAAAAGGATATTGAGACTAGGAGATAAGAATGCTATCATTAATTAATAAATAGTGTTGGGTATATTTCGGAGAAAACAAAGGAACAGAAATGGAACAAAAAACAAAAAAAAACAGTCGTAATGAAAAAAAAAAAATGACCATGATGATCGGTAGGACTTCGAGGGAAACGAACAGAGCGAAAGGACGAATGAATACGAGATGGAGCTGAGAAGTGTTTTTTTTTTTCACACGTCTTTTGAAGTTTTTACAATTTATCACACGCAAAACGACGTTTCAGTCTCATTTGTGATTCAACGTAAAGCAACTATACAAAACGTTACTTCTTATTTTAAGCACAAGTTCGAAATTCTGTATTTCAAATTTCAACTTCATTTATAAGTGAGCAAATGTATTCTAGCAATCATTTTAGCGTAACTCTAAAACGTTATAGTAGCAATCATTCCATGCGAACTCGTTCCTTTTGAAAATTAACATAAGCCTAAATTCGAACTTAAGCTTTTCTTGTGGTAATTAAATATAAGTAGTAAATTATTCTAATCGCTTATTCAATGCTAACTAGTAATTATTCATTAAGAGCTAAATCTGTAACTGAATTAATCACTCCCGATCTTTTGTGATTATTGATTGATTAGCATTGATCAAGTTGTTCTATTTTATTGATTGCTTAAAAGTGATTATCCAGAGTGAACTTGTTGATAATTCAGGAATATTTATGCAACATAACAGTGACTAATATTTCTGAATGATTGAACAACCAATAATTCGTAATAGACATTCTACTGCTTCCACTGCTCTTTGAAATTTGCATATTTATTGTATGTTACTATCGTGTCAGCTTAGTTATGCAAATTTTTTTCTTTCCAGCTTTATTAAGATTCATTAGTGTAAAAGTGTTACAGTTTATAATTCGATAATAGTAAGGAGCGGTTGGTATTACTTTGGTGTATTTCAAATTTTTGGTGAAATATGTTCATCAATCTATCCAAGGTAAGATTCTATCATCGATTGATAAAAATCTTCTAAAAATGTTATCACCGAGTGATCACGAAATAATTCTCTTTGAATTGATCATTTATTGCTTTTGATATATGATAAAATAGATTGCAGGAACATTAGAGAAATACATAAAATTACATTTCATCTTCTCCTTATATGGAAATTTTATTCATCGAATTTACAAAATTCATCTCTCAAGATTTCGAAAACCCACAATGGAAATTAAAAATAGAAAATTTAATATTTGAAAACATTTAATAATAATAATTATTATTATTACTGTTAGATATTTCCGATCTTGCGACATCAATCGTTTACCGTTCAATCAGTTCGCCGTGTAAACGAAGCATCATTTCAAATAAAACCGTTTAAATTACATCGATTAGAAACTGGTCCATCAACAAATGTTACCCTTAACAAATCAGATGCTTTGAAAATGTACAAACAAATGCAGGTATCATTTGGCATTCTTTTAAGATAATCATACCTTCAATTGAGTAAATCAATAAAATACCATCCGGAATTATTGAAAAATTTAGGCGATTCGTAAAATGGAACAGGCATCAGATTTATTATATAAGGATCGAAAAATTCGTGGTTTTTGTCATCTTTATGCTGGACAGGTCAGAAATTTGCTGCTTATTTGACAGACTATTTGTGATTACACTTTCATATTGTATCGTTAATAATAATTTTCAACGCTCATATTATTATTTCATCTTTTGTTCATATAACGACAATGATAAATGAAGATTGTTGGCGTGTTTCAGGAAGCTTGTGCGGTCGGGATTTATGCCGCAAAGGATTCGGAAGATTCCATCATTACTTCATATCGCTGTCACGGATTTGTCTATCTTGCCAGGAATGCAAAAGAAGTTCTTTCGGAATTGCTTGGTTAGTTTTATTTAAAAGAAGTTTACAGTAGACGCTGATAATATAACTAACTATCTACTTCAATTTATACCTGTAAAGTAAAATAAAATATTAGAATAGCAGTTACTTTTAAAAAAATTTTGATATAAAGTTACTGTTAGCACGTGATATCTGTGATACTCCTGTTATATTTATTCTATTTGTATTGCTATTATCATAGTTTGAGTGAAATATTTCTTCAAGTTTATTAGTAAATTTTTTAAATGACATTTAACATTTATTTTAAAGTTTAGGCCGCTCGCATGGTAATGTCAAAGGGAAAGGTGGTTCGATGCATATGTATGCTAAAAATTTCTATGGTGGTAATGGAATTGTCGGTGCTCAACAACCACTTGGCGCTGGCATAGCTTTTGCAATGAAATATAATCGCAAGCCAAATTTATGTTTCACAATATACGGTGATGGTGCTGCAAATCAGGGACAGCTTTTTGAGGGTAATACATAGATTTTATTTGATATAAAATTATTGAAAAAGTTTAACATGCATCGAAGATTGTATGTTTATTTTTCTGGTATATTTTTTTTTTTTATTTTTAAAAATTTCTAAAACTTTCAGTAGAATTTTTTTTTCAAAAATTTAAATAAATTTATAAAATGGAATAGGCATTTGGATACGTAACTATGCTTCTAAATTGAAGAATATATGAGTAGCTTGTTCAAATGTTTGTCCAGCTTTAATTGACTAGATGTAAAATTCATTGTTTTTACTTTTTTTTTTCATTATTCGACAAAATATTCTGCTATAGTTGACGAAAATACATTACTATAATTACTGAAAATATATTATTATAGTTGTTATAGTTGACAAAAAAACACTCTTATAATTATCTTTTAAAATGTGAAATTACATAACATCATTATTTTCATTATTACAATAAGCGAATTTAATATGAGGAATGTTACTATGCAATACAATATAGCTTTATGTATGTAAGATGAATTTAAATTTTAGCAGCAAATATTTGTGCATTATGGCGTTTACCGTGTGTTTTTATTTGTGAAAATAATGGTTACGGTATGGGTACACCAATTTCACGTTCCTCTGCATCAACAGATTATTATTCCCGTGGTGATTATGTTCCTGGAATTTGGGTAAGATATTTTCTTGTTTTCGAAAGAAGACAAATAAAAGATCATAATCAAATTGGCAATTGTTTTTAATAAAAAAAAAAAATCAGGTTGATGGCATGGATGTACTTGCTGTACGAGAATCAATTAAGTTCGCCAGAAAATATTGTATTGCTGATAAGAAAGGTCCATTATTTATCGAATTTGCAACATATCGATTCTATGGTCATTCTGTTGCTGATCCAGGAACCAGGTAATCAAATTTACAAAGAATGAAAATTTTTTATTTGAAAATAAAAAAAATGACACTTTTTCAAATTATTTAGAGTTATGCTTCTAATTATTTTCTTTTTTTTAATACTTTTTAAATGTAAGTATTTTAAAATTACAGCTACCGAACTCGTGAAGAAGTACAGAATATTCGTAGAACATGCGATCCTATCTCGATGCTAAAAAATAAAATCCTTAGTTCAAATTTGGCTACGAAGGATGAATTGAAATCAATTGAAAAGCAAGCAAAAGATGAGGTAACAAAGACATACAGCAACATTTTTACACTAAAAAAAACATCGATTTATAGTCCAAAAAAATGTCACCAAAAAACTTTGCTCCTTCTAATTTCTCTTAACATAACACTGCTTATACAAGAAAAAAGTTTGCTAGAATTAGCTTCTCTTCTTGAGTTTTTTACTAAGAAATATTACAAGAATTATTCAATGAATGATTCTTGTTAAAAGTAATGATCATCAATTTTTATATTTATTAGGAACCAGAATGACTTATTTTGATTTTTATATTTTCACTCATTATATGTTTGATATTTGCAAGCGAAATTATTGTTATAGCAAATTGTACAATTAAAATGATCATTTTTCAGGTAGATGAAGCGATCAAGTTTGCAAAGGATGATCCAGTGATTTCTATGGATGCACTTGTCGCCGATATTTATCACAATACACCACCAATAATTGTTCGTGGGCATACGATGGATGATATTAAAGTGCAGCCGCACACTCGGACAAGTGATATCATTTAGAAAAATCAAAAATTATCCGCTTCCTTCCAATTAAATTAAATTAATCCTGAAGAGTAAAATTTTTGGTTTTAGATAAGCTATCATTTGTGACTTCTTATCCACTAAAATAAGTTAATAGCAATGCGGAATGTTGCGTTTTTTTTCAGTTCCAATTTCAAAAAATTTAATTTCATTAAAATTTAACACGTATAATCATCTGATAGCATCATTTGATAATGACTATTCAATTGTAGTAAAGATCATAGTAAAGGCATGCAATTTTTGTCATCTGACAATAAAGACTGTTCAATTACCATTCTAAGATTGAAAATGATTTTCTAAATATTTGACTATCAAATGAAATTATGATATGCTTATTAACTTCTACAACATTCATTGATCTTTTTTATGCAAATATAATCTAACGAATTATATTACATAACTGGAAATTTTCTGATGCAACGCGACCATTTCCATTTTTATATCATCATTTTTTAGCAAGAAAAAAAAAATTAAAATTCATCAATTCATAGGTTATATCTAAGCATTTTTGCCCTCCGACTTTTTAAAAATCAATTAGAATTTTTTGTGACATATGTACGCAGGAAATATTGAGAATAAATTTACCAAAAAATTGGCATACAAATATGAGTTGACTTGCTATACCGTACCAGGACCATTGACGCATCCTTCAATCAGACAGTGAAAAAATTCAAAATAAAATGTTAGAATGGAGTTTTACAAATATAAAGTTATAAGTGATAGTTTTTATTGTATGATAGGGTAAAAAACTTAATACAGAAATCGAATTTTATTGCCTAAATTTGAAGAAAATTATTCAAGAGAAAAAGCAAATTGATCCATTTGTAAAATCAAGTTTGCATCAAAGATTTTCCTTCCCTCTTTCTCTTTCTGCTCCCTCCTAACCTTTTATTGGTATTGTTGTTTTGAAAGTATTGGTGAAGTTTGTTGAAAGGTAATTAGGAATGATGAAAGAGAGTATCCTTTTTGCCTTATTCTTCAATGATCATTCGTTGATGATTAATAAGGAACGAATAAAAGAGGACGGAAGAAAACTTGAAATTTGTATGCAATATTCTAATTAGCTTAATTTATATATCAGCCACCAAAATAAAACTTTTTATCATTGCAGCATTCTTATTCGAACGGATTTCCTGTAGCAGCTTTCATGAGCCAAAAAATAATTCCGCTTTCCTTTTCTTTTTATCTTTTCCTATTTCTCTGTATGTTATCATTAATCAGCTAATTGTTATATCGAATTTTCATAATGAAATCTTTCAAAGTTTTACTCTCATTATTATCATATTTAAAGTATGAAATTTCCAAAAAAAATTCAACCTGCTATTCTTCTTCTAGAAAGAAAAGAAAGTGCTCAAACATTGATAAATTGTATTCATCGGAATTAAGAATTGTAATAACTCATATCGAAATTTCGATCATTTCGATCATTTTGATCATTTCTGTCAGGTTACTTGCGTATTTCTGTTTATTTAGCCGTAAAAAAAAAGATCTATAAAATTATATACTTTTCTTCTGAAGAAAAAACAGTAATTTTTAAAATTCACTTTTTCTTTCCTTGCAATTAGTGGACGAGAAAATGACTGAAACGAAAAAATCGGAGCAGTTAAAATTTAATTTCATTTCTCTTTCAATGTTAAACTTTTCTACTATTTCGATACGATCGTTTGTTAGGCAATGATTACTTCATGATATTGGTATTCTTGATTATTTTAGTACTGTCTATGAAAAAAAAAATCAATGAGCATTGGTATAGCAATATGTGACAGCTTATCCGATAAACTGATTCAAGGGAAATTAAAATCGATTAAAAATTTTTTAATTATTTTATTATTTTATTTTGATTTCTTTATTAAGTAAATTTCATTGCTATAAATTATCAATTTTTTTTAAAGTTGACATCTGATAATAAAAAGTGAAAATAAATTTTTTTTTTGTTTTTTAGCTATAAAAAAGGATTAGTTATATATGTCTATTAAAACTGCAAATCGTTAATTCATTACACAGCGAGGAAACTAATTATCATAGAGAATATATTTACTGCAATATTAATTCTTTCGCTAACATGCATTCAACTGTTAACGAGTTTTTATTACCAAACAATAAAAAGTGAACAAGCAATTGTATTTAATTAATTATATACTTTTATTCACATATTGCAGAGGATCTTTATTTTCGGCAAAATTAATCTTTTGTTTGAGAGATAAATAAAGAAAGATAAAAAAACGAAATGTGAAACGAAAATTATACTGTTTTATTTCATCAGCAACAATACGAATAATAAAAAATTTCCAATAAAATTTATTACAATAATGTTGAAGTGTTACGGATTTAAGTTCGGATTAAATTATAAAAATTATTAGATTGGTTAAGTGATGAATAATAACTTAGAGGAAGGATTATGATAATAATAATGTTGATGATTTTTAACAAATTCAAAGATTATACAGTTTCTTTCTCTTTCTCTCTCTCTCTCTCTCTCTCTCTCTCTCTTTCATTCTCTCTTCAAGAGTACGATATACATTAATAAATTTTAACTTTGTAAAATAGAGAAAACAACAATTGTAAAACAATTGATAGCTTAGATTAGCATTCAACATATTTCAATTAATTACATAATTTCTATTTTTCAATTAAATGGTATGTTTGTGTGGTTTGAATAATACTTTCCAAGTTAATTAAGCATGATTATTTAATGAAGAGACACGATCATCTATTTATCATATATTTAATAAAGAAACATGATCATATCATATATTTGATATGAAACATCATATTGAAAAATATTCAAAAAAATGAAATTTTTAATCGAGTAATAATGAAAACAATTAAACGATAGCATAATAACTTCTGCTAATTAAAATAAGATTAATGAATGATTTAAATTGATTTACATGACAAATTATTTCCAACATGGCATTAAAAACTATTTTATGCAATCATGAAATAATGATAAAGAATTATACATTTGTGCTTCTTTTCAAATTTGAAACAATTTTAAAATGTTAACAATTGAACAGGTGGCAGGAGCGGTATACTCAGGTTAATAATAAAATTCAGTGGACACAAAAAAAAAATAAAAGTATCAAAAATTTAAAGAATTTACACAGCACTAATGAAAATAGTTTTTAAAATGCGGTTGATTAATTAGTTAGAATTGAATTTTCATTTTCCTCTCGAATTATTTCCGTTAAAACGAGTAATATAATGACCAAAACATACAACTGAGCACAGAGATAAATGATGAAATTTTAAAAAAGGTACCACAAAGAATAGCTTTATAACATTTCACCACGCCCCAAATTAGGTCCTTTCATTTTATTTATAATATATAAAATCAGACAGATTGGTATTTCGTTAATTTTTCATATGAGAAATGGTAAATGGTAAATGTAAATAGGTTGCTAGATTATTTATAACACTTTTATTATTTATTCTACCTGATAAGGTATGAAATGATAGAAGTGATCGGATAACAAAAGGTGAAATGATAGATAACGAAATGATAAGGAGGAAATAGTGGTGGAATGAAATGATAAGGGATGAAATAATAAAGGATGGAATGAATAGGGAAATAAAATGATAGGAAATGAGGTGATAAGAGATGAAATGATAGAAGATGAAATAATAAGGGATAAAATGATAGGGTATGAAATGATCGGAGATGAAATGATATAAGTGATAGGTTATGGAATGATAAAAGGTAAAATAATAGGACGTGAAATGGTAATTGTAACCTTTTGTAAATTCACAAAGTGATCTTTCATTTCTTTACAATTGCTTTAATCTTCTTGAAATCCATATTCAAACTTTCGTGCAATCAATTTTATTCCATATAATGTTTTTTTTTTTTGAATAAGTACACAAATTATTTTAAAAAAATTTTTTTTTTTTGCTATAAATTGAATAAGAGTAGACAAAATGTGAACAGTAGCGTTTGAATTTTGCATAAGTTATATTTTTCGATAGATTTGAATGAAAAATCTAATCTTACATGACATATACTTTAATCTGTAAAAAGTATGAATCACATTTTCTGAGACTAAAAATTGATTTGGAAAAATGTGAATTATACACTCTCAGAGACCAAACATTACACTGCACAATCAATTTATTCTCATGCAAAAATTCCATTGTTCATTTTATTCTTGAAAATTTTCATTTGTTTTTTTTTGAAATAAAGTTTTAAATTTAAAATTAACATTTAATTTTGTTATTATATTCTTATATATCTTTTTTTTTTGAATCCTATAAAATTTTTTTCAACTAACCAGAATTTAAAACGCATTTTTATAACAAATGATTCATTTTTCTATTGCTCTATAATTGCCATTTTAAGTCCTTTTTCAATTACTAAAAAGTGATTTTTACATATTTTTTAGAATTTATGAAAATTTATTATGCGTATAATCTAACCGTATGAAATGGAATAGTATTGGAGCCTTTTACTTTATTTCCGTTTCGTGAAATTTTGAATAGTGAATTGTTTGAATTATTAATCTTTTTGCATTACGAATCAATTCGGTTGTATTTTTCATTACCGAGAACCATCTGTATAAACAATCGAATAAATTTAAATGATATCGGATGAATTTATTTAACTAACAATGAAATTTCTTTAACTTTTATCACACTACTTCTTTTGTCACTTAACATTTAAATGGCTAATTATCTGTTCAACTTTAAGTTGCTTTTCAAAGTCATGCAAATCAGTAGGCTTTTAGTAATTTAGAATTTTGAAAAAATTTTTTCGATTATTTGATATAAGAATAAAATTAGTTACCTGAATTTATGTATGTATGTATACAAAACTCCATTGACAAAATTGCTAAATAATTAAAGTGATATTTGTATTGGTGATAATGATAATTATTTTGTTCTTTTCTTCTTCCCCTTCGTTATCTAATATCAATGATAAGAATATGTTATTAAGCATTAACAATTCGAGAGAGGAAAATTTTTGGAGTTCTCACAAAAGTTCA